CCCCCCGGGAGTCCTAATAGGATTAGGATTGGAGGGGGGAGTCCTACTCCCGGTGGGAGTAGGACTCCCTCTGCGCCTCCCTCTCCCTGGCCGGCCGGCTCCCCCTCCTCCAACCTTTATATACGGGGGCAGGGGGCACCCCAAGACACACAAGTTGATCCTTGAGATCGTTCCTTAGCCGTGTGCGGTGCCCCCTGCCACCAAATTCCACCTCGATCGTACCGTTACAGTGCTTAGGCGAAGCCCTGCGTCGGTAGTACATCAAGATCGTCATCACGCCGTCGTGCTGACGGAACTCTTCCTCGACGCTTTGCTAGATCGGAGCCCGAGGAACGTCATCGAGCTGAACGTGTGCTAAGAACTCGGAGGTGCCGGAGTAACGGTGCTTGGATCGGTCGGATCGGGAAGAAGACGTACGACTACTTCCTCTACGTTGTGTGATCGCTTCCGCAGTCGGTCTGCGTTGGTACGTAGACAACACTCTCCCCTCTCGTTGCTGTGCATCACCATGATCTTGCGTGTGCGTAGGAAAATTTTTGAAATTACTGCGTTCCCCAACAGCATGGGCATGGGAGGTGAGTAAAATCGGAGGAACATGGAGAGGGGAAAAGAGAAACAAGGAAGAAAGGAATGAGATGAAGGGCGCACCGGGGCTCGTCGCCGGTGGTGAGGTGGTCCGATGTGGTGGCATGGAGATACGGAGAATACCGACGAGCTCCGGGACGCCGGCGGCGCGAGGCGGCCTCCCTCTTTTGGCGCCATGGAGGAGGAGGCACGCGACGCGAGGAGGTGAACTCGTTGGGCGCCATGGAGGAGGAGGTGTGCAGCACCATGGGAGAGCCTATGGAGAGAGGGGGGAGAGTGAGGGAGAGAGGAGGGAATCGGCCGAGGATATGGGGACTTCACCTACCTCGTACATAGTAGTAGCGAGGGGTAGAAAACCGCGCTACTACTATCAACTTAGTAGTAGCGCGGGTTTATACCCCTTGCTACTACTATGGCATGTTCGGGGAGCACGGTAGAGACCGCTTAGTAGTAGCAAGGGTTAAAAACCCGCGCTACTACTATCAACTTAGTAGTAGCGAGGGGTAAAAACCCTCGCTACTAGTAAGTAGCAGTAGCGAAGGTTTATGCGTCTACCTATAAGCTTTTCCCTAGTAGTGTCAACACTAGCCCCTTCTATGCCTCGTCCTCCCCACATCAGTGCCACCGTAGTTGTGGAGGCAACCGTATCACGCAAAAGCAACATGGCCCGAAGAGGTGTAGCTGGACGGAGCTCCTCGTTGTATGCTTCTTCAAGCAATAAGAAGGGCGGTGGAGACGGCGGTGGGAGTGACAGTCGAAAGGAGGATCTAACCTATGGTTTTTTGTGATTTTGATCTGCATATTATAACTTTATTAGTACAACATTAAATCAAGTCTCCACCATTATTTTTTTCTTGTTCAATATATCCGAATATCTACACTGTAATAACTCGGTTACACCAAATTAATGGCTTGTAATTTCTGATTAACATGGGAATTTTCAAGGAGTCTCTGATTAGTAGATGTATAGATATATTAGGTACCTACCCATTTTAATCAGACAAAACATTGTAATGTAGAAGTATGAAGACAACATATCATTGATACGTCCATTTTGCATCATTATTTCCTACTATAATTTATTCTATTTCAATGATATATTTAACATTATGATGAAATTCTAATGTGTTTTCTCTCTTAAACTATAAGAAATACAAAGAGAGGGGAATTGTTGGACAACTGGAAATATGGACCTAAAATGCAACGGAAGAAAAAAAGCAATTTCCGGAGCTCCAAATGCAACGTGGATTTTTGAGGAATTATTTTGGAATATATAAGGATTTATGGTGCGAAGAACTGCCATAGGGGACCCACCAGACCCCCACACGGACTGGTAGCACGACCTACTTCCTAGGCGCCATGTGGCCATGTGGGGCCGTTGTGGCTCTCCTCCCGACATAATTTGACTATAAATTCTATTTTTTTCTAGAAAAAATCATAGAAACCCTCGATACTTTCCGCCGCCATCTACGAGGCGGAGCACTTTTGCTCTCCGGTGGAGCAATTATGTGGGGGAAACTTCCCTCCGTCGGAGGGGGGATGGAAGCCTTCATCATCACCAACACTCCAATCATCGTGGGGATTGTCATCTACATCAAAATCTTCACCAGTACCATCTCATCTTCAAACCATAGTTCTTCTCTTGTGTTCAATCTTTGTATCAAACCTCATATTGGTTCCTGTGAGTACTTGTGTTTGTTGATTACACATCGTAGTTGATGCATAGGAGAATTATTGGTGAAAGATCTTTCATTTATCTTGCTATCAGACTATCTATCAAAACCATCTTTACATCATTTACAGTGAAACATTGCTCAAAATTTATTGTCAATTCTTTCTGCTCCTCATTGGGTTCGACACTCTTACTTATCGAAAGGACTACGATTGATCCCCTGTATTTGTGGGTCATCAAGACTCTTTTCTAACGACGTTGCTAGGGAGTGTAGAGCACTCTTGGTAAGTGGAATTTGGTAACGACAACTTTTATCGTACGTGTTGTTTTTTGTTTTCGTCTGCTATTATGGAAGCTAATCCTTTAATATGCTTGTTTGGGGTGACCTCTCCACGTGCACAAGTGAAAACTAACCGTTATGCGGGAGATGGAATTGTTCATCTTGATATTATTTTGAGTTAGGAAGGAACCTCCACCTACTAAAAAAATTTGTTTTGAAATACCTGTTGGCATTCTTGAACAAGTGAAAACTAACCGTTATGCGGGAGATGGAATTGTTCATCTTGATATGAACTTGTTATTTACGAAAGAATTATGTGGTCTAATTGAGTTTTCAAGCTTGACAAAGAGAGAAGTAAAGAAGAAGTTGTCCCCTTTATATTTGGAGGAAAATGCATTGGCATGGTTCAAGTTATTGGACAATCCTTACTCATGGGACTGGAAGCGACTGAAAAATGTTTTCCATAATCCTCCACCATCGCCATCAATGGTACTGCCAGAGCTAGAAGATACACCAAGTTCACCATATCCGCCCCCTCCTACACTATATTGACTGGAGCCTGAGCCGACACCGGATCCATTACCACCATATTGGCTATTGCCACCGCCTCGACCTGATCAAGTTCACCACTGCTAGAAGTCTGGCCGGATCAAGTTCCAGTCCCAGAACATGAGCCAGCACCACTCACTTCTCCACCACCCCCTCCCTCTGCCTAGCCTGTTCCTTCAGAGCTAGAGTTGGAGCCTCCCTCCCCATGGATCTCCCTGCTCATTGAAGCATTGGCTAATCCAGTGCTCAAGAGGGCAATAAAACCGAGAGATGCTAGTTTTGTGTCTACCATTCTGAGAGCTCAAGATGATGTTGGTTCCTAGTGAAAGCTTCCGTCTGGATATTTATACAGTAATGCTATATATCATGGGTGCCATAGCAAATGGCGAAATCTTATTAACCACATTCGTGCGTCCATGCAAGCAGCCTGATCATATTGAGGCTCCAGCATGCATCCCCGAAAAATGATCTACAAGGTGTAAATGTTGAAACACAAATTAATCTAAGAAATGATCGCTGAAGTAGCTAATTGTTAAAGTAGCAACAAATCCAGAATCTAGAAAATCGTATATTTTCTTAAGATGGCATTCAAGGTTCTTAAGATGGAGTATGTTATTAAACCTTGGAGACGAATTAACACCAATTATATGGTGGATCTGCAGTGACAGCTGAAGTATGTAAATCAGGGAGCAGAGAAGAAAGCAAGTACGTTAATTTTCCACCACAGCTTTATGCTTCTTCAACAACATAAACCAGTCATTCAACTTACATAACATCGACCAAACACAGATACAAAACCAAAGTACGAAACCGCCATCTCATCCCCAACTAAAATAGACCAGCCAGGTTAACTCAGCAGAGTCCCGTCACTCCTACCGGATAAACATCCATCTGCCTTCCGTATAGCTAATCCTCATCAAACTTGATCTTCTTAGCTGAAGGCTGAACGCTTCCGATCTGTATAACCAAGAAAAACATAAGCAACCAGGCAAATATCTTGTCATCACCTCACACAACATACAATCAGAAAAAGAAAAAAACATCATCGTTTAGCTAAAATCAGACAGGCAGAAAGCAAAAGCTATCTCCACAGAGTACCGGCCGCATATGGCATGAAACAAAAAAACAATTGAAGCACAGAACAAAATATGATTAAGCAAAGCCTGGGATGAACACTGGTGCTATTGCATAAATTATTTATATCAAGTAAGCGAATGTAGATAAGAATAGATAAGCACTACTATAATTATCAACGACCTACAAAGTAACACATTGCAAAATTGGCTCTAGAACACTACAATTGTGTGCCTTTTGCTCCAGGTAAATAAAAAGGTTGAATTTTGCAGGCAAATTGCTGAACTAATTCATATCTGGTGAAGTAAGACCAATTTATTAAATCAATGAACAGCATCAAGTGTTACTTACAAGGGCTGGACACTCGTAATCGATACCAGCAGCCTTGATTCTTTTGCGACGCTTCTCATCCCTCTTTACAATTCCTTCGAGCATCTTCTTGTGCTCCTCCACTGTTTTATCCTGGTAACACAACACAGCTTATATTAATCTACAGCATAAAATTTCGTGTTCCGGTTGTAGTTAGCGACAGATTACCTTACTAAGCCGCTTCCGTTCAATTGCTACCCGGTCAATTGGTATAAATCCCTTCCGCACACCTTTCCATCTAGAAGTGATACAAGATGTGGAATCAAAACATCAGAAACAGTGACTACGTACAGCTATATGTTAAAAGTACAGGAAAACAGAACTGTAGTTATGTAAGAATTACAACAGCCTCTGTGTTCATAATAAAGTACACAAAAAGAACAAGGATTCAAGAATAAATAAAGCAAAAAAAATGAAATCTAAGACAAGAACCTTGCAAGTTCTTACAAGAGATTACCACCAAGCTTCAGTGGTGCACTTATTAATGCAGTGGCATATATACCAATTCATATTACTCTCACAAACCCTTGACTCACAAGTCCTCCATTATAGCTATGGCCTGTTTTTATCATCATAGTGAATTCTTGGTGTATAATTGTGTTTTGACATTCACATACCACTCATTATAGCTATTCATATATATTTCTAACATGGCTTACAGTTTGTGTAACGCAATCAGCACACATCACTGATTATAGCTTGCATCATTATTTTCTTTCTATGAACAGGCATAAATCCAGCTGTGCAATGGAGTGGAAACAAACAGCCTGGTAATATTAACTGAGTGTCTGTAGCCTATAGGGAAACCATATCACTGTAAAAAGTATTAAATGACAGAAACACAGATTAGACAGCTTTTTCCTAAGAATATACAATATTGACCTCATTTACTGGTAATTATGTGTAGTCCTAAACAGAAGATGAAGGCTATGCTTTCGTTATCAAAAGGCAAAAATAAACATATAACCAGCATAGTTGCAGTGATTACAATTTGGCATGAACTTTCTCCGGTGGGACAGGCGCAATTTGCAGAGTGTGCTCAAACAACAGGTAGTTATTCATCTCATCAGCTACAATCTTCGCCACCTGATATACCAAGAGCATGCCAGGAACTTGTAAGCAGACAACAAACATACAGTGTGCCATGATATATCCAAAAAATGCATGTGCTTACCTCAGGGTTCTCAAACTCAATGAATCCATAATGCTTAGACTTCCCTGTCTAAATATATCACCAAAGAGCAAGTCAGATGCTTGCAGAAAACACACAAAAATATCAAATACCTTGTAACGCAGCATAGGATACCTTGCGGTTCCGGGCAACCCTGACCCTCTTAACAGCCCCAAACTGCTGAAAGAAACCTGCAAAAACAACCAAACCAACAAAGACGGACATTAAGATCAGACCCCTCCTCGCATCCGCTGCGCTTCTCTAAGCTCCACTGAGACAGACAGACCTTGCATCTGGTCCTCGTAGAAACCGTGGGGGATGTGGCCGATGTACAGGACGGTGGCCGTGCTCTCCGGCTCCTCAGGCTGCTTCTTCTCCCGGACCCTCTGCTCTTTCCCCTCCAGCGGCTGCACCAACCAATCACAACACAACATCAGGGACAAGAACAAAATGGATGTGTGGGTGTTTTTCTTTCCGTTGGGTTCGATTCGGTTCAAAGGCAAGCACGCACCAGGAAATCCTTGCCCTCGCCGGTCTTGGGACCAGCCGAGCGGCGCGAGAGCACACGCCTCTGGTTCCTCTTCTTGTCCCTCAGCCCCATCTCGCTCAATCAAACCTCTATGTAGCTCCCTGTAACTGAAGAAGTCAGGTTGCCAAACGTACAATATAGCAGCTGTAGGTGAGTGTGAGTTATAAGATTAGTACATTCCTACAGCAGGATGTTCAATCTAGACGAACACGGAGTAACCATTACTGTGGTCCGTTTTTCACACGGTCGTTTAGCCACACTATTCTGACAAAAAATCCCCTCTGAGAGACAACTATGGCATATACCGGACTAATTTGCAGCAGTACCATCAGGATATAAGTAAATGATGATGAATCTAGACAACATAGAAACTTCAACAGTCAATCATTGCTGTCAACCCATTCATACAGCTGGGTGTTTAATCTAGACTAGACGAGCAACCATTAATTTGATTTCCAACCCGAATGTTTAGCTGCACCATTCTGACACAAAATTCTTCTGGAGGAGACCAACCATGGCACATACCAACCAGACAAATTTACAACCACATCATCAGTATATTCAAGTAATTGACGAATCTGGGAAACACAGGAGCACCGCGTAGAATTAGGAAAAAGGCCGTATATAGAATCAATCAGCCAATAGAGACGTGAGCATGCTTAGCGAGCAACGGGAACAGGAAAAAGAACAACTTTCTCAAGTAAACATTTGGCAATGTATTCCATCCTCGAGTACCAAGGAGAGCTAGGTAGCACATCTCCTACGGGTTGCATCGAGAAGAAGCTACCAGGAAGACTGTTTTCTGGGTAGCATCAATGAAGAGGACGCGGTGAATGAGGGGCGGGGGGAACTTACGGCGGAGGTCCGGCGAGGCGGAGGGGCGGCGCGGAGGACGGCGGAGTTGGAGGGGAGAGGAAAGGAGGCCGAGCGTGGCCGATAGCGAGGAGTAGAGGGAGGGAGGGAGGCGGCGGCGGTGGAAACCTAGAGGGGGCGTGCGGCTGACTTAGGTCTTGAACTAATGGGCTGACGGCTGAGAACTTTTCGTTCTTTTCGGCCCAGCCAGCCCATCTCCTCCTAACAAAGCCATACACTGTATTTGCTCAAAAAATTCTGTAATTTGTCTCGAAAAAATACGCATGGCTGTAAACAAGGCTCACCACGTGACACATGTAGTAAGCAATCCAAACAATTCAAAAAATATATTCTTACTAGGTTGTTCTCAGAGAAGCAAAAACTTGCTTGGCGGCCTAGGGCTATTTTGATTCAAACGAATTATTTAGAATTCTTTCGACGATTTCAATCCTTACAAATTTTTTCGATGATGGCTGTTCTATTCGCAAGATTGGAATCCTTGGTGTTTTCTTTTCATGGGATTCATTTGTACCCTTTTTTGGAGAAAAAATTTCATCCCCTCAAGCCTCCTGGTAGAATTCATGTTACTATTTGTCGAAAAAATAATTCATGATACTCTATTTTGGAGTACTTTTCTGTTTTTCTTCTAATATTAAACACTCTTACATTCAAATTTATGTAGTTTTGTAATTCTATATAGTTTTCTTCTAATATCAACAAATGCATAACACAGATGATGTGGAGAGACGAGCCATGAATAAGTGCATCACTGAACGAAGGCACAAACACAAAAAGCTGTTCATTCCACAAGCACCTTTTTTTATTTTGAGAGGAAACACAAATAAGAACTATATATAGACTTTCGAGAGAAAACCCAGCTAGCAGCAGGAGAATCAAAACCATATCTGTTTCATTACAATACCGACGATAACAGATGCAAAATCCTATCACACCGATCGACGAAAAGCAAAGGGCGAAACAAGTTGCGCTATCAACAGATCAGATTCTTCTCATCTGATAGCAAGAACATGCTGCACGCAGGCAAAATAGGTGACAACTATGTACAGAAACACTATGAAGACAAGGTTGTATCTTTCTTTCTTTTTCACATCTCCATGTAAAGGTTGAAACCAGCATCGGGGTCCCAGTCGCTGCATCTTCTGTGCTTGTTCAGCACCAGATGGCGGGATTCATCGGAGTCCTCGCCGATGCGAACATGAAGAGCGACCGCATCGGTTATCGAAGCGACTTCCTCGTCCAGCATTTCCTGCTCTTCTCTCTTCTTCTGCTTCTTCTTTTCCAGCTCTGAAATGATGGCAGCAGAGTTTGCGAGCAATTTCTCCAGCCGAGTCCGCTTCTTCCCAGCCTGCTTCTGGCGGTCCGGTTCATCATTCTTCTTTGAAACGACTTCCTCCTCGTCCAGCCTTTCCTGTTCCTCTTTCTTATTATTATGCTTCCTCTTTCCCAGCTGTGAGATGATGGCAGCAGAGTTTGCGAGCGCTTTCTCCAGCCGACGCCGCTTCTTCTCGGCCTGCTTCTGGCGGTCCAGCTCCTGTTTCTTCCTTCCCTTCTTCAAGACCTTCCCTGCCTGATTAACAGGCACCAGGAAATCCTTCCCCTCACCGGTCTCAGTCTTGTCCCTCAACCCCATGCCGCTCAATCGAACCTCAATGTAGCTCCCTGTCGTTAAAGATGACAGACAGGTTATCAAATGAACACAATGTAGCAACTGTGGGTGAGCATGAATCATAAGATTGTGTTCTTGAAGCTGGGTGTTCAGTCCAGACGAATAGCCATTAACGTGGCTTTCGCCGATTTGTTCAGCTACACTATTCAGACAAAAAAACTTGTAGGAGAGACAACTATGGCATCTAGCAGACCAATTTACAGCAATATCATTAGGTGTTTAAGTAAATGATGAATCTGGACGAGATAGAAGTGCCATCAACAGAAACGTGAGCATGCTTATCGAGCAACGAGAACAAGAAAAATATCGCTTTCTTCACTAACAATTTGGCAATGTATCCTCGAATACCAAGAACTTGGGTAGCTCATCTCCGGCGGGTTGCATCGGGAAGAAGACACGGGGAAGGAGGTGACTTACGTAGGAGGAGGCGAGGGCGGGGCGGAAGAGTTCCGGCGAGGTCGGGGCGGCGGAGCTCCGGCGAGGCGGCGGCGAGGACGGCGGAGTTGCAGGGCAGAGGAAGGAGGCGGCGGTGGTGGAAACCGAGAGGGTCCGGGCCTCGGTAGGTCTTGGACTAACGGGCTGACAGCTGAGTCCGTTTCGTTCTTTTCGGCACATCCAGCCCATCTCCTCCTTGTTCAGCCCGCAACGCTCCAGTACAACAAAGCCTTTCCCTTGTCTCAAAAAAAAAAGGCTTGCCCTAAAAAAACTACAACAAAGCCATACACATTGTGTTCTAAAAAAAACATACACATGATTGTACTTGCTTGGCAGGCTGTTTCTCAAAAAAGCAAAAAGTTGCTTGGCAGGCTAAGGCTAAGGCTCCTTGATTCAAACGAATTACATAGGATTTTTAGGGGATTTGAGTCTTTACGGTGTTTTTCTATGCTGGTTGTTCCATTTGTAGGATTGGAATCCTTCGTAATTTCCTCATAGGATCCATTTGTGTTCTATTTTGGAGAAACATTTTCATCCCCGCAAACCTCTTGGTCGAATTCATGCTACTCTTTTTTGGAGGGAATTCCTGGGGATTTTTGTTTGTGTTTTTCTTCTAATACCAAACACTCTAACAACCAAGTTAATGTAGTTTCGTAATCCTATGGTATACAAGAGGACGTGACACTATAATTCTGCGTTTTTTCTATTTCTGCATTTTGAGATTCCTTTGTATCAAAGAGGGCCTAACCTCGTTCATGTACGGATATGTTGGCCGACCACTGATCTAATTTCTTTGGGGCTTTTTTGTTCTTTTTTTTCCTCGCGTACGCATTCTTTGGTCTTATATGACTTTGCAAGATGCCGACGAGTTTGTGTGTGTGTGTTGGTTGTGTGCGTTTTAACTATGTAGAGATCGAGTGTTTGGGTGTGTCCTCAATTGCTCGTAGTGTTTGTATCTTTACTTTCTTTTGAGAGTGTTTTTATCTCTTCGATGCTTCATTTTGAGTCAATTAAGTTCACCTTTATTCGAAGCTCCATTTTAAGTCAATAAAGTTTACCTTTATCTGAAAAATGTACGGATCAATTGGGTCACATCAATCCATATATAATGCGCAGTGATTGGTCCATAAGTCTTCCCGGAATCTGTTCTGGTTCTTCCCTGTACATAACTCTGCAGTTTATAATACACAGCTCCATCCAGTGCAATGATCAATACATGCATGTTCCATTCTGGGATTTCATTTGGCACAACAAAATACTCTTGGGAACAATGCACTAATGAACAAAGGCAAAAACGCAAAAAGTTCCACAGGCACATTTTAATTTTGTGAGGAAACACAAATAAGAACTATATATAGACTTTCGAGAGAAAACCCAGCTAGCAGCAAGAGAATCGAAATCATATTTGTTTCATTACAATACCAACAATAGCAGACGCAAAATATCCTATTACACCGACTGACGAAAACAAAAGGGCGAAACAAGTTGCGCCATCAGATTCTCCTGATAGCTGGAACAGCTGCACGCAGGCAAAATAGTCAGCACACCTTCGGTGACTATTATGTACAAGAACACTATGATGACGAGGTTGTATATATCTTCCTTTTTCATATCTCCCTGTAAAGGTTGAGCCTGTTGGTGCCGCCGAGCATCCTGTTAACGACGGTCGCGGTGGCGACTCCTTGGCCTGGAGAGGATGAATCTTCTCGGATCTGCAGAGATGAGACGGCCTGGGCAGCCATGTAGCCTGGGCAGGCGACTGTTGACTGGTGGAACGTTCCTTGGTAGTAGGACGCTTTCAGGTCCCTCACTTCTCCCCAGGTTGGCAGGGGATGAGCGTTCCCCCAGTCGATCCACCTCCCGCTGGAAGCATAAGCTTGATTGCCGCACATGAGTCCACCAGGGGAGTAGATATCAGCTGCGCCTTGCGTATCCAGAGTGAAATCCAAACCAGCTGAGGGGTCCCAGTCGTTGCATCTTCTGTGCTTGTTCAGCACCAGATGGCGGGATTCATCGGAGTCCTCACCTATGAGAACATGAAGAGCAACTGCTTCGGCTATCGAAGCGCCTTCCTCGTCCAGCCTTTCCTGTTCCTCTTTCTTCTTCTGCTTCTTCTTTTCCAGCTCTGAGATGATGGCAGCAGAGTTTGCGAGTGCTTTCTCTAGCCGTCGCCTCTTTTTCTCAGCTTGCTTCTGGCGGTCCAGCTCATCTTTCGCCTGTTTCTTCTTTCCCTTCTTCAAGACTTTCCCTGCCTGATTACCCGCAGCCTTCTCCATGACCACTGTGACTGCTTGCTATTGACTATTACTACCTCAGCTAAACTCCTCTACCAGTTATAATTACGGAAAAGCAAAATCTGCAAAGTTCATAGTTATTGGACTCCTGTCTAGATGCTTTCTTCCTACGGGCCCGCCGATTTACTCCCGGACCAACTAGTGCTGAAGCGGTTGCTGCAGAATGCTACACCCACTCAGGTCTGAAGGAGTATCTTATCTTGCGGAAGATGCAATCCCAGTAGGAGACAACAGGGGAGAGCAGGAGTGAGAAGTAGAAGGCGCTCGCTATGTCATCAGCTGTTAAGTTTGATCCAATCTTGTCTCTGCCCAGCTGCTGACCCATCTTAGTAGCCCCCAAACTGAAGTGAAACCGCAGCCAACCAGCTCATAAGGGATCTACTACTGCAACAACAGAAGAAGATGCTTCAGGTAAGAAACTGTAGTCAACTTACAAGAAATGAACAGAAATAGATGGTGCAGAATGTATGCTTTAGTGATCCAGTGGTAATGTTGCAAGACAGAATGAACTAAACACGTCATATACGAAAAATGATCTAGCGACTGATTAATGGCAATCAGTGAGCAAGCCAGAAAAATCTGCCCATTAAGGAACGATGTAACCCCATGAACGAAATCCCAATTACTCCTTCCGTCCCATAATTTTATGATGTTGTTACAACCAGTATGTGAGCATGTCTGTTGTAATAAAACATCATATATTATGGGATGGAGGGAGTAGCATCCAATTCTAAGGATTTGAATTCTCAAGTTTGTGCTGCTCTCCAAAAGGACACATAGAAGATCTCATTTCTTAGGTGGAGCCTGGCAGAATCAGATGAGAGATGAATACAGACGACAGATGCTTGGAGTGTCGGTATGGGCTTTGGTATCTTTTTGTAGAAGAGAAATGGTCCGACCTTTGTGATCATGCTAAGCAAACATGCCAATCCACGGACCGGTCTGAATAAATTGCACAGTTCAACTCAACTTGCCATCAATTCAGGTGTATCAAAACGGCAGTAGCAAATTTCCCTAAAAAGGTAGCACCAAATGGTGTACTAGTACTACTCTACATGATGGCCCAGGATCTAACATATCCACCCAATATATTGGCGGAATATTAACCTCACCAGAAGAAGAGAACACAGGCATCACAGAATTCACCGCATGCTTATGGGAGATACTCCCTCCGTCCCATAACGCAAGAATTACGGGACGGAGGGAGTAAATACAGATGCCTGGGGTCTAAATTGTGCAGTCTTACTACTCAGCTTGCCATCAATTTGGGCGTATCTAAACAGCAGAAGTAAAAATTCCCTAAAATGTGTACCAGACGTTGTACTGCTGCACAACAGGACGCAGGATCTAACATATCCACCCAGTAAATAAATAAATTGGCAAAACAACCACCCTAGAGCAAGGGACAGAATTCTCGGGGTGCTGCGGCTCGAGCCCGCAACACATCCAGCACCGAAATCCACCTGAATTCCCTTTGTGACCAACCTATCGTGGGCGCACACAGGAGCGGCTGAGGAGCAGGCGGATCCCCCTCCCCAGGCCCTCGCGCGATCTAGCGCGGCGGGCACGGCCAATTCGACCGAATCGGGCCTCGATTCGCCGAATCGACACAACCTATGCGCGCGATTCCGGCGACCAACCGCCAATTCCCTCCTAATCGAACGCTTAATAACCTCGAATTGGGCGTCGGAGCGGCCTAATTCGCGTGGAGAGGAGGAACATCCAGATCCGAGGGAAGGAGGTTACCTGGCAGGAAGGCGGGGGTGGTGATGGGGTACCGCTGGGTCTGAGGGGGCGAGAGCAGGGATCTGGGCGGCGAGGAGGAAGGGGGAGGAGGTCTGGCGGAGTCGTCGCGGGTGGGGTGGGGTGGGGGTGGGGATGGGGGTGGGGGTGGCTGGCCGCGCTGCTGGATCGGGGAATTCGAGGCGGATTCGATCTGCTGCGGGGGAGCGAGTCAAGTGGAACTCCACACAACAGACGGACAAAGAGCGAGCGGTGGCACGTGCGACGCGGGTGCGGGTGGCGGCGATGGGAATTGGGAAGGAAGCCGAATCGGTACGCGCACCCAGGGCGCAGAGGCTGCCCAGCGGGCCCGCGGTGCCGGCGCGCAGATGACACGCGGGGCCCCCCTCGATATTTCCCTGCGCGCGCGGCGCCCCTCATGCGGCTGCTGCAAAGCCTCTGCTTTTCCCCTTCTCTTTGCGTGTGTGCCACCCACTTGGGCGCGCAATTGCT